TAAATTGGTGAATATATATAAAAACTTTTTTATAAAAAATTGAACCGACTTCAAACTTTAAAAAAGTGATATTAAATACTTAAGACGACCTCCGTAGCCGAGTGGTTCGCACGCCGGTTTCAAGGTGTCGCCATCTCTGAGGTCCCGGGTTCGATTCCCGGTCGGGTCAATGTAGAAAATGAACTTTTCTATACTGACTCGGGTCTGGGTGTCGTGGTACCTTCGTTGTCTCAGATACTCCATAATACGGGGGCTTTAGCTACTCATCTTGGAATCTGAGCAATGCATGTGATGTTGTTAAATATTTATTATTTTATTTTATCTCAAAAACGACTTATTGAAGAAAATGCTATTGAAGCCGGGCGGAGGGTTTCTGTAAATTTTCAATTAAACGATAGCCGCCGGAAATAGCATTTTTTTTATTCCATGCTGATATTGATATTTTTTTTACATACTTGCTAATACGAAAAATATTAAATATTCAAAATAGAAATTATATATTAATAAACATATTGTTGCTCAACATATTTTTTTCCAATAGTCTATACTCATATCTTAAGAGGAAAGATTTGATTGCTTGTTGGTTTGCATTGGATAGGCCCCGAAACTATTCGACCAATTCATAAAACTTTTTAATCTACGGGAAGCTACTTATGCTATAATTTACGAAAGTGAAGTCGCGGCAAAACAGCTACTTTATATTAATTGGTCCACAATTCAAGAAGAAATCTATAAACATTCCTACTTTCATAAAAATATACAAACTATTTGAATATAGAAAATCCTCCTTTCGGATTTTGAATAAGCGTAAAATGAGTAATCTTTTGTTTTTTTTTAGTTTAAATAAACATAACATCTAAATATATAGGTGATATTTGATGAAAAGCGTATATTGTTTTGTTATAAAAGGATAACTACTGATTCTGCCCATTAAAAATGTCGAAAAGAAAAAGAATTTTGAAAAACGGTCAACAATTGACGTAGGTATCGGTGAACATACAAAAAAACATACCTACATTGCCGTTGGACATATAACCTCCTCCTTTTCGATTTTCAAGTCTATTAAAAAGGTAAACGTAGAAAGCAGATTTTAATTGAAAAAATAAGAAATCGTACTCAATACACAGTTAATGATTTATATTAATTATTATAAGTACAATTCTATTGAAGAGTTAATAGTTTTAATTGGCAAAGTATCTAAGTATCTAGTGATTATAGTTAGCTCTTAATAATTTTATACTTAGCTTTTTAAGGTACAAATCATAAGCTTAATCTTTAATTATAAGCAATAAAAATTAATAGCGAACAAGTAATACAAAACAATTATGCAGCCACCTTGACCAATCTCCGTGTGGCATTAATCATTATTAGTTAGCTTGATTTTTGATTATTAATGTGAGTAATTATGGAAAGCAATAGCGGCAAAAAGTTATATCATAGCAATTTTATAATAACCTTGTAAGTTGTTTCAGTTTTAATGTTAAAAAAAGAAATTTGCAAAGAGACGTTAATGAATTAATGATTCATTACAGGTTGAAGTTGATAACGTCTGGAGTTACATTTTTATGTTCCGTTAAACTGAATAAGGAATGAAGGTTTTCCTCGCGGAAATACTTCTTGTTACCTAAAGTGACACTGACACAGTTTCTTGAGAGGAATGTAATGTTTCATTTCCTGTAATGTGCGTAATTTTAATTGACTTAATATTGTACGAATGTGGTTATTGATAAAATTATTTGATTTCTTACTAACAATAATAGTTGGTATTTTGTTTTCAATAGTTCTACATTCTAAGAGTTCTTCTCTTATCATAGGTAGCTCTGCATTAGTATCGCAATTATAGTGTGAATTCGTGCCACAATTGGCATTCACGAGTGATATATTTAATGAAATCAGCCGCGAAATGTACTTATGTAGAAACTGTAATGAAAATATGATCGTATATACAAAATTTGAATGTATTAACAAAATTTGAATGTATTCATAGTATTCATCTTAACTTTACATTATACTTAAGTAGTATTAATTTATGCCGGTGTTTCGGTTTTCTTAAAGGTTCACTGATAGATATGAAATTAGCATCAGGTTAAACTTTCGTGTTTCCATTCAATTTCATTTCATTCAATGATCAATGACGTTTAAATAAATAAGAATAAGTAGTTCTATCAAAATAAGATAATTAGGTATTAGAGAAAGCGTCGGAGCAGAAGAAATTGGTGGACGATTGAAACAAGTGTATTACAGATGTGAAAAAATCCACATGCAGTATTTTTTTTTACTGTGTTCTTTTTGGTCGGGATTGAAAAAACTGTTTCTAACTAGATAATTGTTTGTAAGTGCGATATATTTGAATACATATTGATTTTTTTGTGGTTTCACGGGGCTCAACCCTTACTACCGACTGCGTCTAAATAAATAGGCGTTTCAACAGTTGTTTAATGAATGCCCCTCCTTTGAAAACCTCCAGTAGAAACCAAAGAAGGAGGAATCAATCAGGAGGAGAAAGAGGAAGAAGACGGCAGAGAATAAAGTGTGTGGATTATAAATTACTTTGAGCGCGTAAACTCCGCAAAAACCTTCAAGCACGTTCATGCCTTCACGCCAGTACCTGCAGCCTCGTGCTTGCATGCGCCATAAATGTTTAGTGACAACAAAATATCAAGACAAAATCTTGGTATAACATCTAAATTTTCTGTTATATCGAAAGTACAGCCAAGGCAGAAGTATTTTCGCTCAATTTTTTCCTGTTACCAAGTCAGTGAACATTTAGTTCAATGACATATGTTCAATGGTTTTAGGAAAAACCTACTATATAGATTATTTCTTATTGTGAAGACCGTTCTTTTGTTACCAGTATAGAATGTTTCTTATTATATGTGTGTATTTTACCAAAGAAATAACATTCTTCCTACCTTTGAATAAACATCGATTAGTTTTCTGTAGTTTGAATAGAATACCAAATGCTGTTTTTATACGGACTTGAACACCTGTTTTTAATAGCCATTTTGTCTATGCCTCTACATTTTCAGTGTCAGTATGTAGAGTCATTTAATTACACTTTCTTAACTATTATTTTAATATCGAAAACTACGATAGAGGCAGTTTATTCAGTTTATTAACTTAAGATTTGTGAATGATTCTTATTAATTAAATAATACTGTAACATAATAAATATTAACATTATTTCATAAAAGCATGTATGTAATAGCTTTACCCAATAAATTATTTACTACCAAAAATGATTTATGACACAAAAAAATATTTCAAAGAATAAATTAGCATAGATAAAAATAACAAGTTTAGAGCATTACGTTAAACAATTTTAATTATTTTTCAGACAGACCATATAATACACAACTTGCGTTACTTGCTACATAATAGTTTCCAATCAACATAGCGTTGCTTGATTATGTAAGGAAATATTTAATTATAAAAATCATTGCTCTCTAAGAATGCCTTAGACATAGTCTGTGATTATTTAAACATTCATATCGAATCAAATTCCTTTTCGTCGTGTTCTAATAAAGCTTTTGAATCAATGTCTGTGCATAATAATTATAAAACCAATTACATACATATATATTAGTCACGATTTGTTGCGTTATATTAAGCAAATAGAGTAATCGATGTAAGAAACCTTATTATTGTTGTCATTAATATTATATTTATTATTTATTTATTCATCATCATCAGCCCCCACTTCAGGGGCTCAGGCCTTCCTTGTGGAGGATGGGCCGTCATCCTCCACGCTGTCCCAATTCGGATTGATTGTCGGGTATTAACGACTGCAAATGCAGCCAGGACGAATGGCTTAACGTGCCTTCCAAATTACGGAGTAGCTCGAGATAATATGTATTTGTTTGATCACCCATGCCTACGCCACTGGTCTATGTATTGAGTATCGTAAAAAACTTACATACAATTGTTTTAATATATATATGGATGATTATATTTGATAAATTATGCATTCACAGGGAAAAATGCTTTAAAAAAATCCACTTTCGTCCTGGCACTCTGAGATGGGACTCAAACCCATGACCTTTCGCCATCCGGGCGATTGTTATAATAATAAAACATTACTATTCCATTAAGACACTGCGACAAGCTTGTCATTTACAAAAACGAATTCACTCCAACGGCTTTCACGATTTGCATGGAATGTCAAAGACATGACGTATTCTACATCTTCTTTAGATTATCCTATAATCTAAGATGACTACTTAGCATGATAGATTTTTGTTTATGGAAATGTACCGCAGTAATCACAGTCACAATTCTATTGACCTTACCTCTGCTTAACGCATGGCTGAGTAAGGGCTTTAGGTAATGACTGGAATGGCTATATAAGATTGAAATACCTACTAATGGACGTACATCGGTACGGGTACGTACAAATAAATGGTTAAATGGCAATGAATAAGGTAATTATGTCAAAATGTGATCCACACGGGTGCAAATCAGCGTTTTTAATAAAGGTGACTTTGCTGGTTGCCAACCTAGATATCTAGACAGTGGTTCTTAACCTAAGGGTAATTAATTATTGGGTACCAGCTACATTATTAAGTTCTTTGTTAACCTGTGATTAAAGGAATAATGAAACTGGCTCTATTTAGGACATGATTTTACAAGTATTTAGATCTTACAAAAAAGTGGTTAATGCATTATAAAGCTATATGTATTTACTCGTAATATTCATGTTACATAAATTACAAGCTACGCGTCGCAACATCAAAACGAATGGTTTTATTACTTATCGTACGGCATGGGTTGAGAATGAAATATTCTATAAATATACAATTTGTTTCCAGGTATTGTTTCTCCTTTCCTCTTGAATTACACTGCATATGTATATTGACTTTGTTTCATGCTGTATAAATTTAAAAATACTGTCATAAGGACATAACACACAAAAAAAAAACTGTAGGCATAACGAATAAGACATATTTAGAAAAAAAATTATAATACAATTTTTAGTAAAGACATATTTATTTTTGTTCCAGAAATGCTTCTTTTGATTTAGCAGGAGGCCCAAAGAGCAACGGCACATTTCCTAAAGGTTTTTTGTTTGGTGTATCCACGGCAGCCGTGCAAATAGAAGGAGCATGGAATGAAGACGGTATAATGAAATTGGTTTAATTATTTTCCTAGTAAATGTAAAATAAAAATTTAATTAAATAACATAATACATTTTTGGCGGGACGAGTAGGGCGATGTGACGTCATAGACGAATCGGAGAATTAAATAAAATCAATATTATGAAACTACCTCATTCATATTGTGAATATATATTAGCTATTGTGTTTTAATAAATAATATTTATCTTAAAAGCGATTTATTAAAGCGAATGCTATTGCAGTCGGGCGGAGGTTTTCAGTAGGTTATTATTAAACGATAGACGACCGGTTTTATATCTGTTGGAAAGCGTATTCTGTTTTGTTATAAAAGGAAAACTACTTATTCGATTTGAATTGCTGGGAAGAAGATCGGTCAATAATTGACGAAAATATCGGTACATATATATATAAAAATATCCATCGCGGCGAAAATTTAAGCTCTGCCTTTTCGATTTTGAAGTTGGTTAATAAAATACAAATAATTAAAATATCAGGTCATTATACGACTCACATTTATGTTACAGGTAAATCCGAGAGTATTTGGGATCATTTGGTACACACTAATAAAAGTTTCGTCAAGGATGGTTCAAATGCGGATGTCGCCGCTGACTCGTATCACCTTTACAAAAGGGACGTTGAGATGGTTCGAGAGCTCGGCGTTGATATTTACCGATTTTCCATCTCATGGCCGAGGGTACTTCCCACCGGTCGTACCAACTTGATTAACCCCAAGGGCATTCAGTACTATAGTAACCTAATTGATGAATTACTAAAGCATAATATAACGCCAATGGTCACGATATACCATTGGGATCTACCTCAAAAACTTCAAGATATTGGTGGCTGGACAAACGCTCATTTGGTGGATTATTACACCGACTACGCTAATGTACTGTTCCAAAACTTTGCGAGTCGAGTGAAGTATTGGGTCACTTTCAATGAACCAATGCAGACTTGTTTGGAAGGTTACGGAGGCACTTACAGAGCTCCGGCATTGAATAGGCACGGAATAGCTGAATACCTTTGCACCCATAATCTTTTAAAAGCTCATGCGAGCGTTTACCATCTTTTCAATGACAAATATCGTAGTATGAATGGAGGTAAGATATAACTCTACATATTTTAAAGAATTTAATTTACTTATTTAACATGAAACAACTTTTAAACGGTTTCATCGAGTTTATATTTAGTTTTATTGACGTTTCGGACCCGTTACAGGATCCGTGTTTACATAGAACTAAGGTGTTGGTTGTCTTTTTAGTTAAGAGTATACTACCTATACATACCACCGGCTTGGGATTCAGTTATTAGTCGAATAAAATCTCAATCCAGATTCCACATTGCAAAACTAAAAGATGCGTTCTGTAAATATTAAATCAAAGGGAGAAATTCAATTATCTAGTCGGAGTTTGTTACGTCAGTTCTTCTCAGACAAGATTCCCAAATTTGGAACTGGTGGTAGTTTACGGTAGCTAGGGGCAAATAAATAAGTCTAATGTATTTTTATAATAATGTTTCCATAAACTATAAAACTGTTTGTATTGTGAATGTGTCCAATGGTATTGTTTTGAAGGTGGCTATATTCTTAATTAAAAAGACAATCAACATCTTGGTCTTATGTGAACACGGAACCTGTAAAGTTTCCCATACGTCAATTAAACTAAATGCAAATGCGTAGAAACCATTCAAAATTGTATCATGAAGGGATATCAAACATTAAGGCAAATACAAAAGTTTATGATTGGTTTTAGGTAAAATTGGAATGTCATTAGATTCTAATTGGGCGGAGCCGAAAACTAATTCTTCGCGAGATAAAGAAGCTGCTGACTTGTATCTTAAAACACATGTAAGTACTGAGACTAGATTTTTTTACCAAATGTTCAAACGAATAAGTAAGTCGTTTCATGACAACAAGGTTTCTCTGTTTTTCATAAACAATGGAATTGTTGACTTTGATAATATTCACGAGTTAACATTTTAATTACATCTGATTATGTTGAGATACTAATCTCGAAAGTCAATCTTTATTCTTGGATTAGAAGTGTGCATTGTTTTATCATAATTAAGTTTTAGTCTCTATTATTTAATGGCGTTGTTGTTAACCTACAGATACTTGTCTACAAAGAGAATACATCCTATTATGTACCTCCGTAGCCAAGTGGCTCGTACGCCGGTTTCAAGGTACCGCAATTTGTTAGGTCCACGGTTCGATTCCGGTTGAGTAAATGTACGATTATTTTTCTATATTTTCTCGGAATTGGATGTTATGTGCTTCCGTTGTTTAAATATTCTGTAATACGAGGACGTTAGCTCTTTTTTTTTTAAATCGGAGCAATGTATGTGATGTTGTCTGATATTTATTATGTTTATATTATTTTGTTTATAATGATATATTTTTTTTCATATTCACAGATGGGCTGGTACGCACATCCAGTTTACTCCAGTGAAGGAAACTACCCACCGGAATTAATAAGGCTCGTAAACGAAAAAAGTCGTCAGCAAAACTATACAAGATCTCGCTTACCAGTATTCAGTCCTGCTGAAGTGGAATATATCAAAGGCACAGCAGATTTCTTCGGACTTAACCATTACACCACGTATCTTCTTAGTATGGCAGATGGAGAAGTAGGGGGTATACCCTCTCACGAAAACGACGTAGGCATCGTCAGAATTCAAGACTCGAGTTGGCCTTCAAAATCTTCATCATCTTGGCTAAAGGTAAAATTGCTTTTTTATTTTCGCTGGCGCATATCGCTTAGTTTCTGCATGAGAGGATGAATGATGGATTACCGTCACTAAATATAATATCCACTGGAGTTAGGGAAGTTAGAATGGGAGTGTATTTTGTTGACACACTTTTCTATGTTGGAGTAAATCGATTGAAGTTACTTGCGGATTGGTTAGGTACCTACGCATTGAAATTTTCCTCCGGGAATTGGATTACATTTCTCGGTACTACCTACTACGTATGTTTGTATCATTCCTTAGGATTAATTCTGTCTTCGTTCAAATTCAATTTGGAATCAGAGTTCGTTGACTATCCTATAAACATTTTTTGTTCAATATATTATAGAGTTAAATAAGCAAAATGTAAGCGATCAATAATAAAGTGTCCATTGGTTACAACAGTAATCACAAGTAGGTCAGTAAAGTACCAACGTAAACTAGTTTTCTTGTAAGATTAAAATCTATAATTTAAATTATAGACAACAATACGGAACTTAAGTTTGTTGTTGCTATGTACGAGTATGCTAATATGAGACTATCAACTTTGTCTTTATGTCTATAGATCTTATAATTGATCGCCTCGTTAGTTTATTGTGTTGCAAAATTAATAATATTAATAATTAAATTTTTCTATATTGAATAAAATTAATTAATGTAAAGCAGGATTAGGATTATGTCGTCTATATTTGTTTCTGTGCAAAACTGGTTAGTTGCGTGCATGTATATCCTCTTATCTAGCAATGAACACACAGAATAAATTATTCAAAATGAGGGTATCAATTATATTTTTTCTAAAAAACGTATGAATTCGCACGAAAGATTGTTGTAGTAGACAAATAGTATGTATTACAAAAAAAAAATATAAGTGTATTTAAAGAAAAGTTATTAATTTATAAAATACAAGGATCTGTATAAAATATAAGCCATTGAATTATTTTCCATAAAACTTTAGATAGAGATTTTAAAAAATCTTAATTTTTATGAAGGTTAAATTGTAAGTTTTTATTTCTTCTTTAAAAAAGTAATACAGTAATGCGAATAAGATTAAAATAAAATGTCTGTACTTTAAATTGGCATCATCGCAATATAATCGCAATGACCGTAAGCATGCAGCATGCACGATGGCGACTTTCAAACGGATGCCATCATGCATGCGGTATGCTTACTCACCTTTGATTTAAAACCCTCCCCGGTCTCCCTAATAAAATAATAATTATAACAGGACATAATGCTCATTCCGAGTTTCATATCGGTTTCTCTCAGTAGTATAAGGTCTACCACCGTACATTTGTTAACAAATGCCACAGAAATGTTAAAAAAGTTTGTGACTGATGCCGCACATTTTCGGCTTTCATAAGTGTTTATACTGCGACATTCAAAAGTCCAAAACAGCCAAAAACAGTGTATAAATTAGTTTCAAGTTAAGAAAATATGTATCAGTAACAGTATATTAAATAACGTTATGTACTTACTAGGTACAAATATCACTGTTTCCTTCTCATATTTACGTAAAAGTATATTTCATCTTTTACATTTTCTTCGTATTTCATTGAAATTGGCGAAGAACGATAATTTATGGCTAAAGTCACCAGAGCAATTTACGAGATTCTTGACTTTTTAAACTATTAGGTTATTCGTCTGTTTCTCAGAATGTTATTTATTGAGATATTTATACAATTTCTGTTACTGCCCAAAAAACGTCTGTATCGTTAATATTAAAAAAACCGCGCAACAAAGCGGTCCCTACTAATAGACTACTATTAGTAGGGAACCCTTACATTATCTATAAAAAAAATGCAAAAAATAAAATAGTTATTTAATTCTGTTTTTAGTATTAGTTGTGATAGCGGTAACAGAAATAAACAACATCTAGCTAGCTATCACGGTGCATGAGATAGCGTCTGATGACAGACAGGCGGATAGGCAGACAGGTGGACATCAGAATCTTAGTAGGGGCCTGATTTTTCACTTTGAGTGTGCAACCCTGAAAATAAACAAAAACAAACAGTTACATGAGTTACATGAGAGCTCGGTGGCGTAGTTGATAGAGAGCTCGGTGGCGTAGTTGATAAGCGCCGCGGCCCGCGATCGTAGTCGTTAAGCAACTTTCGCAAGGGTCGGTCACGGGATGGGTGACCAAAAAATTATTATCTCGAGCTACTCCGTGCTTCGGAAGGCACGTTAAGCCGTTGGTCCCGGCTGCATTTGCAGTCGTTAATACCCTCCAATACGCATTGGGCCAGCGTGGAGGGTCATGGCCCATGCTCCTTAACCATCCATAAGGAAGGCCTGAGCCCTTGCAGTGAGAACGTGAAAGGGCTGGTGATGTGAAACAGTTACATAGTTAAATAAGTATTCCAGGAGAAACAGAGAGGAAAAATATTTTGCTCACGATAATTTAATATGAAACAGTAAGTACTTATATAGCTTTTATAATAAATGTATCACTTGTAATGGTTTTTATTATTATCCATACGTATTTCAAAAGGAAAAACCTTTAAGAATGATCTGTATATTCGTCTCATCACAGCAATTTCCTCTGAAAATACCGATGACGTGAAAATATGATACACTGTAAATAGGTATGTGATGAAAAGACAGACGTGTAAAATTAATAAATAAATTAGATGACGCCCTTTTATGAGGTTCATTCAGGGGCAGTGGTGCCAACGGTTAACCTTGCTTTCCACCAGACTAGGCTCCCGAAACCACCAGAAAAACACAAAATAAAAATCACCTTTTTAATAAAATTACTAAATTTTTCAATAAAAAAATAATTCTTGGGTATTACGGAGAAAATAATGGGAAATTTAATTAATTCATGCAGAATAAATAGTCTTATGCTTATCGCAGAAATGGATTGTTGAAAAAAAAACTTTTAAACAAAATGTTAAGTTGAGAAAACTTTGAGTATATTTATCTAACCGCAAACGAAAGTGAAATTTATGTGCCTTTCCATTTTTCTTCGACATCCCATGTGATTTTAAATCGTCAGAAATCTTCACACCATTATAGACTTATATTTTATAGACCAGTTGTACTCTCGATGACTCGAAGCTGTCTTTAAGCTTAGAAGTCTAGAATTTTAGAATACTGTGGTTAACAAACATAAAATAATGTGTGTCAAAAACTGAATGATGAAATACGTGGTACTAATAATAGGGATAATATTCATTTTTGTTTGTCTGCCCGTCTGGTAGATTATTGAAAAATATTAAAAACGTATTTTTTTTTATTTTTTGCGTAATCAATAAATCACAGACACATTGAGTTGAAATGTCGCATGACATTACACCCTTGTACATTTTTTACATAGTTGTGATTTAGTCTCCACTCTTCTAGTATAGTCCCTATAATCTTAGCCATTTCTTGTTAAATTGAAGCCAAAAAAATACGTATCTAATGTTTTCCCATTATCTGACTGACGGACGAAATAGATTCATTTTTTCTAGGCATCATCTCTATTAGAAAGGGTGTAAATTTATCTAATAGTACGTCGTTGCGTCGTCGTTGAATAATTTTGGATCTAAGAAGGAAGGGAATCATTCATTTTCAATAGAAGAAATGTTCGATATAGTGTTTTGATAACTAAATGAGCTAGTGCTTAGTATTAGAATGATAGTATACTATATGTAGAATAACAAGGCCTACGTAGCGCTAGCTAGCGCACTAGCCACTGCTCCATCGAGCTCCTTATTAAGCTATTTATTTAATTTTAATTCATGGTTTCACCTTTATCTCCATAAAGGTTGATAAAGGTATAGGTTTTAATTTATTGTAACTCTACTGATGTGATAATGCTGTGTTCAACGCTATATTTTTAAAAAGAAACACTGCTAAAGGGTCATCCAACCTAGCGTTGCTGTTTGTCAATTTCAGTTTTCATAATAGCTTCAATATGTCATTTGCATAATTCTTCATGCAAATGATGTCATCAATACTATAGTGATGTGGCGAGTCTGCTGGTTTCGGTTTTCGTTAATAGATAATGCAGATACAGATAAATAAATACTTTTAGGGTATAATTACGGTATAGTAAATATAATTAAAAATTATCGTAACTTTTAAACATTACCTCTATATATTAAAAGTAATTCTGTAAAAATACAGTTTCGTTATTCTGTATAAATACAGTATAGAACGCGACGTCGAATATAGCGTTGTCACATTACTAGTGTTCAATCAAATAAGAGTTTTATTGCCTTTGAAATAAGTTTTATTTTAGTGTTTCTCTAGTGCTGTGTTCGACGTTGAATATTTAACAAAATATAAGTGCTGGTTTTGTACTTTTAATATGAATATACGGATAAGCTTGTCTCGGTACAACACTACAATATAATTTAATAAATATTCAAATAAAAAAAGAAAAATCATAGAAGTAGTTAATAAGGAATGTATCTGGGCTATAGGTAGAAATCATTAGGATTATTTTATAGTTCTTCATCAGTAGCACTAATGTATTAACTGAGTATTTATGGAATATTTTATTATTATACTTGTGCAAATATACTGCAGTAAAAATGCAAAGTGGCATAAACAGGTTACACTAGTAAGACTAGTGGAAAAAATATAAAAAGAACAGTATAACAAACCAGAATTTACAAAGTACTATCGAAGATTCAAATGACGAATGTAAATCGAATAAATACTTTTTATTTTAATCAATTAACGTAGATACTATTTAATGCTCTGGTCCTGTCCTCTTAAAATCGATATTTGATTATATCGAGGACTGTTTAATCATCTTGTCCTGCTTCAATTAAAAAAATATGTAGGTTTTTTATTTTTATAGAGTAGGACAGAGCGCGATGAAGTTATTACATCGCAAATTGACTTTACAACTACAATCCCTGCCTATGTTTCATTTTAAAATATGTTCGTAACAAATTGATATTTCGGGTATACAAGTAGTGCGATTGATATTAGTTATGTAATTATATTGACAAGTAGTAACTTTAAATAGGTAGTTCTTTTATTCAATACAGTTTTCGAACAAGGTTAATTGGTTTTCAATTATAACGACTTCTTATTTTTTAATTATTAATATTTAATATAAAGTAAGAGAATGCTCATTGTGTCTTTATCCAGCGACTGATTATAGTAACAATGAACCATAGATAATAAATCACATATGCATTGTTTAAAGTTCTATTCAAATCAGACACAGTTTTGGAGATTTGTCGTGGGTAATAATTTATTTTAGTGTCATTAGTGGACTGGATAGTCACGATTTGTGATTCTGCGAGACATTTCTAATAGAGAAAATTGGATAAATACAGTCACTAAGTAAATAGTTTTTGAAAAAGTTAGGATCATCTCATAAACTAATGAGTTTTAAGTCTATAGCGCGCCAGGTTATTTTATAGGTACCCAACCAAATTTCCTCTATTTTTGAAATGCCAATATGACTCTAAAAACTGCAGTTTTAGATCATTTATAATGTAACAGAGGAAGGACCACTTCTTCTGATGCACAGGTTATTTTCACGCGTATGATTTTAACAAAATTATAAAAACGATTAGAGGACAAATAGAATAGATATGCCCTCAGTATGCAAATTCTGATATTCCCTCAATTCATCCAATTATATTAGACTTTAGGTATATTGTACAGTGGTAAAATGCATGTAGTTTAAATTCTATTGAGATGCTATTATTACGTAAAAATTAACAAAACTAGCTTGCTGGTGTCATGTTAATTCGTATGAGTTAAATAGTTCAAAATTTACTGTGGAAAATTTTCATATTGTGATAATCATGTTCTGCTACGATATTATATATTGTGTCATGTCGCTTTGTCTAGCCGAACATAACCTTGGCATTCGAGTTACGGACAATTACATTTTCTGTCATTTCTTTATCGTGCGTGACAGACGGTATTGAATACTTATTTATATATCTTATATCTGAAAAAAAAGAAAATGTTTACAGAATAGTAAGCCAATAGTTTTGAGTCAAAACGATTAGGAAAATAAATTTTATGGAATTTATGTTCCTTTATAAACCAAAGCTAAGGCCGCCTCCTACATGCCATAGCCAGTATCTTTATCTAAAGGTTGCAGAACAGGTAGTGGTTACTTTTATAATGAGAGATCATAAAAAGTAAATAATACATTTAGAGCAGGTATTGGTTATCTTTGCACCTTCTTTAAAGCTACTTTCATGCTGAAATCCAAAAAAAGATGATTACACATCAAATGCTCGTACATACGCTTTCTGTATAACTACAGTTTTCAGTCTCAGTTTAGTGTCTTAATGATAGTAAACGTATTTTTTTATTCATTATGATTAACAAACTATTTAATATTTCATAATTTTAATTATCGTCGGTATACTAGTACGAGTTAGGAAATAATAAGTAGGTACAGTGAGTAATAAAAAGCAACTGCAAAAATATGACAGTCGAACTACCAATAGAACGGCAAGAGTGAGCTTATATTACGATGCCAAATTATTTTTTCCAACTTACATAGTTTGTTGTTCCATAAATTTCCATTGACGTCATTTTTCAAACGAAAGTCCTTGTTACCATATTATCGAAGATTGTTACCTTAGAATTGTTTCATTTTTTTTATTCCAACCTTTTAAAAATTGATCCAAAGTGTCGCCATCCTTGAGGTTCCAGTCGGGTCAATAGGAAATATTCTTTTTTATATTGTCTCGGGTCTGTATGTTGCGGTGTCATCGTTGTCTCAGATACTTTATAATACGAGGACTTGACTACTTATGTTCGAATTTGAGAAATATAAATGCTTATACATTTTTTTATATATGTTTCAGGTGGTACCATTCGGTTTCCGTCGACTACTCAACTATATATCCAAAAACTACAACAATGTGCCAATCATAGTGACAGAGAATGGTTATGCCGACTTCAGCGGTGTGGATGACCACGCGAGGGTGTCGTATTACAGTCATTACCTGAACGCTCTCCTTCATGCTATCCACGTAGACCGCTGCAATGTCCACGGCTACTTCGCCTGGAGTCTGATGGACAACTTCGAATGGGACGACGGATATGTGTAAGTTTACATGACAAAGTCCAGTCACCAAAGAGAGGGAATATATGGGGTGAAATACCCCATATATTCCCTCGTCAAGCGCACAACAAAAATAAAATGATCCCGCATTCATTCTTTCCATTCCATTTGAAATCTTTACTTCTGGTTTACTGTACGTAAAAAAATCAAATTTGGAATGCGATAAGAAAATTAAAATCTACATATTTGTTACTTTTCGAAACTGTATCTCTTGTTTTTTTGTTACAAATTTATTGATAAAAATAATAAGCGCCCAAAAAGAAGGGTCTTCATATGATGTGAATGTTTATAAGCTCATAACTCGACAATAAAAAAATGGCGTGGGCACATCCATGTCCACTAGAAGTATAACTCACCAGAGTATGAACAAATTGCACGACCTCGCTTTATTTTTGTTGTCCGCTAGATGTAAAATGCCCCATATATTGTTTAGGTTTTAGGTTTAATTTACTGCGACAAAATTGGCTAGATGCGATTGTGCGAGCGTAATAGTAATATGTTTGCGCATGAGTGAAAGAGATATGTAATGCCGGGTCAATGCACGAAATTCCATTTGTTTGGCGATCTTTAATTACTTCTATGTTGAAAGTTATGCATACATTTGAAGAGGAAACAAGACAGTCTTATCGTGAGGTCCGAGACAAATTCCGAAAAAAATAGAGACAGGCAATGTGGCAATAGTAAAAAGCAACAAAATAACAGCCTTAACAATAATAATTGCAAACGTAATGTATTTCTTGTAATATCAGGCATCGATTACAAAGTATATCATTAAAATATATAAATAATACGAAATAGTAGCTTTTGCTTGCGACTGTTGCTTTGGGCAGCAATTACAACAGCTTAAACAAATGTTTAAGAATTATGGACTCATTCGAAAAAAAAACAGATTGAATTAGGAGTAATTTAACCTTTTTTTTCGATAAAAAATAAACTTACATCCATCCCCCAAATTAAATTCTATTTTAGTGTCAAGTTTGAATCAGTTCCATGGTAACAGACAGACAGAGCTATTTCCCCATTTATGATATAAGTAGTGATGTAAATTCACATTATCACTTCAGTTATCTTTAAAAGAAATCTACATTATGTCTAAAGTTCATAATTGGTATGCTAATCTATAAATTTTCAGTAATAAAAAAATCCAAAGGTGTTAGAGCCACCATTAATCATTTATTCAACTAAATATGTAAGTCAAATTGACAAATATGTAAGTCACCTTGAAATGAAATTGCAGGATTGAGCAATACCATAATAATCGTAATAGTTTGCGAATAATTAATAAATAAAATCATTTTGATCGCTCATGTCATTATTAGTTCCTATCTCGTTGCTGGATCTCGTATTTCATCTCATTTCTCTTTGCTTTTATGTGTACTCCCTGTCTTGTGTTAGTTTGAGTGTTTACGGCATCTTAATAGTTATAATTGTCATTAATATTCAAGAACTTTCATGATTTACTGCATTTTGGTATGCAACTGTGTTTTTGTGCCTTATGCGTGTTCATTATAGTAAAAGTCAAACAAGCAAATTAAGAAATTGTAATTATTTATTGCAGTTTTTTTACGTCATGCCTTTGACTGTAATTATCTTAATGCATAACTATTTTATTTAGTAAGTTGCTACTAGTACTAAATAACACACTTAAATATTTTATGGATTTCGAATAAAACGTCAAACAGTATCAGTCAAATCGTTATAATTTCACTCATGAATGTAAATGCATTTTGCAGGTCCCGCTTCGGTCTTTATCTGGTTGATTTCAATAGTCCGAACAAGACTAGGACGCCAAAGTATTCAGCGAAGCTATACTCAGGAGTAGTGGCAACACGCCGTTTGCCAGAGAATTATGATCCTCAAGACTTCACTGCATTTTCATCGGCATCCCGCATGGCCCCGACAATTCTATCTCCACTACTACTGTATACGATGTTACACTGACAGCCGTGTATAATCTAACAATACTTTGTATATAAAACTTTACGTCTAACTAACATTAAAGTTTAAGTAACAATATCGTAAGTTCTCAACTTGATCCCTTAAATAAGAATAAGATTAGTCTTAGCGATTATATAGTGAGATGGAATTTGTCGAGCGTTCAGTACTCGACGGTGGCGAGCCTCCTGGCATTGTCTCTGGCGACCTCCCGCTTTAGCTGGGCTTGGATGCACGCGAAGGACTTGCCCTTGGTCTCGGGCAGTACTACCAGCATGAACACCAGCCCCATGAGAGAGAAGGCTGCGAACCCCCAAAATACTGTGTAGATTTCATAGGCATCTTTCACCACCTGGAAAGATCAAAGTATTCTGTTAATAAAAGAGACTCTGCAAATTTTCGAATGTGATAATAATGTAGTTTCAAAGGGATTATTTAAGATTTTACTGATATTACTTATAAGAAATTTTTAGGTTGTTTGGCACTTTTTATTTTAAAAATATAAATGATAAATTTATAATTTTTATATTGTACATTTAAATTAAATTATAAATTGTTAAAACAAATAACGAAGTTTTTAATTTTCTAACATTAAGATAGACTTTACCTACATTGATATAGAAACTTCACCATACAAATTGGGTTACTTTATTGCTTGTGATTAGAACTTCTAAAGAGAGAGTTAATCTAGAATTATAATTTTATAAATGATTAGTGATCATAACGTAAAATAAAGGAAATTTACCTGGAAGAGTTTCTGAACAGCGAACATAGAGATGCCAGTGTAGATGTGTGCAATACAGGAAGCATATAACTTCACGTTGGTCGGGAACATCTCGCCAATGATGACGTAAGGTACAGTAGAAAGACCGATGGCGTAGCACACGATGTAAATAAGCAGTGATACCAGCGGTAACCAGCCGAGACTTGCGACCGATCCTTTGTACGTGATGTCAAAGAAGAAGTACGTTCCGATTGTTCCGTTCATAAGACCAACCCCTAGGGCTGAGAGAAGTAAAAGAGGTTTTCTTCCTACTCTGTCTACTAGTATAACTGAGAGTACACAAGTGGCCACTTGCACACATCCCAATATTATAGATTCTTGATAAGGTTCTATAGTAGCAGCCGCTTCTGTAGTAGCGTTGACTACTTGTGTCCCCTGAGTTGTGCAATTGAATATTACTTGGGCGTAAGCGACCACAGCAGCACTTCCACACAGCTGTTGTATGGTGAATATACCTAAGCTTATCCACATAGCTTTTCTATTAGTGGCTTCTGTGATCAGATCGCTCCAAGTGCCTCTGTTTTTCATGTCTTCTTGAACGTTGATTTCAATGTTTTTAAGTTCAGTTCTGATATCGCCAGTACGCAGATTTCTTAAAGAACGCTCTGCTCTTTCACTGCGTTCGAATTTCAGGTAATAGTATGGCGACTCCGGTAGAAAGAGGAAGGTGATGACGAAGGTTATAGGTAGGATCAAGTTGATACCGGCAAGGGTTTGCATCGTAACGAAAGGTCCTATGCAGTACTGGGCAAGAATTCCGACCTGAAATGAAAAACAAAAATACTAGAAACTATTACGTTATTTACGAGTCTATTGACATCATAAAATATTTACGCATTCAAATTGATGTTAATCCACGTATAATTCTAAAACTGATAGTCCGTATTGTTTAACGATTATTGTTTTATGATTCCACGTGCAAGCAAGACTGGGTCTTCATATTTTTTTAGATCATTCTAAGACGTGGAAGTTTTTTATTACCATCATAATCAGTGCTACAGTACAGGAATCACATTGAATAGGGAGAACGGGCCATAACCCACCACAAGAGTCCAGTGCGAATTGATAGATGCAAATGGCTTCAAATGCAGCCGGGATCAACGGTTTAAAGTGTATGTTCAATGATAGAGAAGCCCGAATGCTTTAACACATGGGCCATAGACTTATCATTATTATAATTAATGCTATATTATTATCAGACATAAATTAAAAAGTATCACCGCTAAATATACAGATTTCTAGGAGACGATATATTTCTAGTTATTTGATTAACTAGCTACCAATACACGTATGTACACTTTGGGATTTTACATTTTGAGAGTATTCTCTAATTATGCGCAATATCTATTAATTAAGGAAATGAGTCACGTATTGCGCGGCTGCTGGCTACAATTCAATGTAATTAAACATGTACAACTATATAGTTTAACTACCAGCTAATTCATAAGTAAGTTTATTATATCGTATATGTATTTCTGTATATACAGTTCATAGATATAATAGATATCTTATTTCTGTCCAATTGCTGTCATCCTTTTGCAAATTTCCTTCTACTGAGTATGAATAATATATTGTTCTTGTCTGATGATATGACTAATAGTTTATATTACCATGTTTGGAGAATAAACTAGATACTGTAGAGATGCAAAGTTAATCGCACCCACTTTTCTTGGTAGATATAACATGTTGGATTATTCAAAAGCGCTTTCAATAAGCTTATTCCTATATCATCATCATCATCATCATCACCAGCCCTTTTACGTCCCCACTGCAGGGGCCCAGGCCTTCCTTATGGATGTTTAAGGAGGAGGATTCGTATATAAAATATTTCATTAGCATAAACATCTATTTAAAATAAAATATACATAACATTGCAAAGTTGGCAATCTCCGCAAAAACTATTTGCCATACTGCAATAAAATGAGGTCAGTGTCTAATTTTCGCAACCTACATCAGGAAACTGTGCACTTTCATGGCGTCTTATAAGATATAAAATAAACATAGGATATATAATAAGTACCTATATACAATGTTTGAATATTATAATTTCATTGTTATATCTAGAAATTAGTTTTTAGATATAACATTCGCAAATTAACAAATAGTTATCTAATGTATGAGTCTCACGAAATTCGTAAGTCATATAAATTAGTCAATAGGTTTGACTCAAACTTTATGCATAAGTAATTTTTTTGGCAGTGTCTTGATTCAATTTTAAGTACATATCTTTTAAAAAAATTATTGATAATACTCGTTTATCAAATACTTTTTTTTTTGGGAATTTTAATTTAAATAGTTACCTATTTTGGATTTTTTAGTTACCTATATAAAGGACTTTTGGAAATCAAAATATGACAATACAAAATACATATATATAATAATGTTACATTGATAACTACGAGTAAGTACATAAGTTGAATTTTTCGAATAAGTATTTATTTGATACTTTTATAAAGGGTATCTACGAGTACTATTAACAATAAAACTTTTTATTGTTTACCAGAATTCTAAGAAACCGAGTATCGAACTTGTTTTTTGTAATGACTTTTAAATGATTTCAATCCATATAATAGTTGATAAAAACATATTTTTTCCTATAAATTATATGAATTTTAAAGAAACTCATAGTCCCTATTATTCTATTGTTATAGTTATTGAATAAAAAATCGAACGAGCAATATTATCAGTTGACAATGACGTTGAAAAACATTTTATACTTCGAATGCCGCCCTGCATTTTCTTATAATAGACGGATGATTAGTTAAAGTTAAACAGGATGTAAGTTGTAAAATGTTTGCCTGATGCGAACAAAGACATTGTAGCAAAACCTCAATCGTTTTTTACGATGTTTGTAGGAATTGAATTTGTATTTTTTTAAAATAAATAATAAATATAATTTTCCGTAGAATTATATAATAAATTTAGAAAAAGTTGATACTCACTTTATTCATGAGAGTGATGAGAGTGGAGAGAGCGCCGCGGACTTCGTTTGTGGCGATTTCTCCCGTGTACATGGGTGCTACAGTGTACACGATGCCGTAACCAAGACCGGAGAACATCCTGGCGACGTACAAGACCGCAACCGACTTGGCCACGATGACGAGCACCCAGCCAATGATGAACGGAATCGCTCCAAGAAGAAGGGTGGTCTTCCTCCCGAACCTGTCTGCGAGGTACGCAGACGGGACTGGCGTGATAGCTGAGCACAGGATCATGATGGAGACGATCCATGATCCTTGGTCGGCGGTGGTGGGTATTGAGCTGTCTGGAGATAGGAGATACGGGAGCGTCGGCGAGGGCCAACCGTAACAGGTACCCGCTGTCGCAGTGATGAGTGTTGCTGGAATAAAAGAAACAAAATCTATATATATAATAGGTTAACTTGACTAACTTATGTATCACCGCATGTCATAAACTACTACCTAACTACTTGCCGGAAATCGGTTTGACGGAACTGCAGTTATTCGTATCTATCCTTTAATATATGGCTTATACATTTTTTTCTGTTAAACTTTTATTTATGAATACCAAATATCATCATCTATCATATCAGATGCATCTTAGAATTTAGAATGTTTTTATAACCGATTATAACCGATGATAATAAAACGCAACAGTTACAATTAAATTGATTCAAGTGAGTATCTAATTATCTTCTTTCCGCGCCATTAAGTAGCGATAAACGTTTATGCTTGTTATTATTATTATTTTTATTACCTAAGTATTTGACAAACACCACCAAACGGCAATAGAGCAAACATTAAATATACATTATAATATGTAAGTATCAACATGTATTGAGAGTAATTGGACCAATTCCAGTGCGGTATCTGCAATTATAGAATGTCTCGTAGTGAATGTTGATTTTAGTGCGGTGCGATTGTCTATTATACGAGTCTTTTTGATATTCATTATAAAATTATCAATGTTACATTACGTAGATGTTAATAAAAAAAGGAATTTCACTATTTAAACTTTTCTTAATAAATAATAACAGTTTACAAAAAATAAATAATAATAAACAATATCTGGTCAAGGCTAATATCCACTGTTACTTATGTTATATTAAATATAACGTAAGTGCATTGCACTTAACTTTGTTTGACTTGTATATCACTAACTTGCGTCTTCGTCGGTAAATGTTTACTTGATAAGGACGATGCAATAGGCTAGTTGACAACTATTTTTTTTTATTTCATAAATAAATATTCCATAAACATTGGAGAAATAATGTCGCAGTTACAGCATGTCTGCGATAAATAGTTTCGGAGATACGGTTCTGTTTGTAGAACTGCTGCTAGTTGGCCGAAAACGCTCCCTACAAATTTAAGGCACTCAGTGATATCACACGGTGCTACAGTAGCGAAAAATGTATGAGCGTCTGGACAATTTTTATAATATCTTCGTTATTTGTGCGTTTATGTTTATAGCTGTTATAATGAAAGTTGTAACATTTTTTATATCTAATTTAATGCCGTATGTATTTTAGCAAAATTTTGTAGTAGATTTTCTCTACTTTTTTCAAGTTTTCAAAGCGTAATATTTTCCAAATCAGTGACTTAAAATTTGTTTTGTTAAACATTTATAAGTTAAAATGGTTCATATTTTTCGAAGATATAACATAAACCTGTATTTTCACTTGTAGGACACAGGTCCATTGACTCACTCCAATTGGTTAATCTTTGTAATCATCTCCGGTGCCGTAAACTACCTAAGAGTAACGCAGGATAACTGCCCTGTTAATCATCATTGATTAATAGCGTAATTATCCTGCGTTACTCTTAGGTCTTACAACGATTAATTAATTACAGAATATTCATTTGTCAAGTCACCAATGACCTAGTTCCGTTAGATTACAAGAAAGCAAAATATAATCGTGTTTTTCCACATCAAGTGGGTTACACGAAGTATGGAAAAGTTACGTGTTACGTTATGACTGACGATATCGGAAGGATTTGACATTTATAAAGAAATTATCAGTTTACTTTAATCGATTATATGTAGAACTTGACTTTATGAAAAGGTGTGAGTTTTATTAGTCCAGACGTTTGGTTCCTCGAGTAAACTTAGTATACGTAAACATGTTTGATATCGTTTTGTTATCAACGGAACTGGAAAATTCTGACCACTTAAGAAAATTCCAGAGCATTGTTGTTAGTTTGATAATTTCATGGACCTTGTTGTTCTGTGTCCTTGTGTTGTTCAATTGACAATGACAGGAAGGAAAAAACATTTACATTTTACATTGCTCGTATCTGCTAAAGGTTTCCGATGAAACACTTAAGCCATTTTTATAACTTTTAAAATATACTATGAGTGATTTCATTAACGTTTCGTTTCATCGGTTTTATTGATAATTTTATTAGTAACCTGCGATATTGTGTTAAGTAAGAGAAGTGAGAACTAATACAAATATGTAAAAGACAATGACAATCGAAGTGCTGATTTATAATTCGTGGATTAAGCGACGAGAGCCATACAAGGTTAATTTATGAGGTGATGTAGCCATTAAGCCTAGGATTATAGCACCGCATTATTGTATCTAAACATAACAAAAGCAGTCATATATAGTCAAAAGATTTATTATTAATAAATATCCAATAAATTGATTATAATAATAAAATTAATGCTAATAGGGATGATGAATAAATTTTGTTTTTAACCCATCAGGTGGATTATTTAAAAATTTTAAACACATGTTTTTAACTTTTTTGTGTTTATTAAGTTGAAGTGTTACGTCACATCTTTGTACATTTTTACATAGTTGAGACGTAGTAAGCCCCCACTCCTCAACTTCAATGTCTCTGATAGACTAAATATAATTTCTTTTTTTTACCCAGTCATTTTCTTATTACTCAGCCTTAGGTAAAATAGCAAAGCTTTGGTTATGGCAATTACAAAACGATTAACGTAAATGAGTAGATTTTAATACTTACTTAAATAAATGTTAAGCAACTTTCTCAAAAGTCGCTCGTTGGGTGGGAACCAAAAATTTATTATTTTGAAGTCTCTGTGCTTCCAAAGTTGTTGGTTCGAGTTCATATTATATTTTAGAAAAAAAAGTTGCATGTTGCATGTACTTGCCCTCTCAAAAGTCATATTCACAATGATATGGGCATGCTTATAAAGTGATAATATAATCCCGAGTGCATATAAACCAGACCTATTTAGTGAATAGGTTCCTTCTGGACGAGCTCGTCCTACCGTAGATATAATCTATGTCCTTAGGCTAGATTGAGGTCAAGAGTGAGCATTGTAAATAAATAAAAAATATTGGTTATATTCACAATGATAGTTTTGTCTTCTTAAAATAATGTAACGTGCATACATGGTAGAGTACTTTGAAATGTATTGTAATATCGAATATTGCTGTCAGTTGTACAGCAATATTATTTGGTAATAATATTATATACAAATATATATTTTCTAGACATGCATATACTTTCGTATTTACAAAATTTATTTGTGGATGAGATTAAAAGATATAGTTAAATTAGACCTGGTTTTATCGTCAACATTTTTTTTCTTGTTAACAAAACAAACCAATGTAACAATTGTTACCAAGATTTATTTTTAAAATTGTCAAAACAATCACATTGGTAGTCACTGCCAATTGTTATGCAGCTAAAATAGTTCGTTTATTTGGTTCGATTCAACTGACATAAATGAGGTCAATTGCGAAACAATCGTCTCAATATGTTTTCGAATTCACGATGTTATAATGTAATCGATATGTAGAAGTTTATGATCAATTTGTGTGTTGCCGCGACTTTGTCCTTTTCATATATGTTTGAGGTATTTTTTCTAATATTTATTTCTATTTCAAATTATTTCTAACGTCATCTCGCTAAAGCAATTATATTATGGAAATTAGGGGCAAAGGACGGTATCGCAATCATCTAGAGATTCTAAAGGGAATCCAACAGCGATATCTTGGAAAATACATTCTGAATTTATATATATAAAAGCGAAAGGTCATTCACTCGCTCATCACGAAATCTCAGAAACTACAATACAAGGGCTACGAGTTTCAAATTTTGCATAAGGATTATTTTTAGGACGTAGGTGCTAACTAAGCGTAGTCGTAAGCGTAGAGAGGGAGTTACAAAATATAATGATTAATTAATTTGAAAAAACTACATTGCAAGATATTTCTATTATGCCCGCTGGCAAAATTAAAATCTTGGGTTACGATTTCATTTCTACAGGAAATAACTTAATGAACGTTGAATAAAATTAATTGCCTAATTAATAGCAAAATTGCCAAGCCACAGGTTTTGAATAGGGTGTAGAGTTTGTGAACTAAGGGCGCATAGAGTCAGCCACGAGATCTGATAACTTTTTGACAGTGCCAGTGCGTGCCAGTACTCGACTTGGCGATTGGTGGATTTATATTTATTGGTGGATTTATAAAACCATTTATGTCATGCTGGCCGTTCTATTAACTATCATCTCTATTCACACCGCTTTATAGGAAGGTTTTATGAAATTGGAAATATATGAAGAGAATGACTGATCTACATTTTCATGATAGCCAAATATAAGATTCTTTTCAGTTGCACAAACGTCCATTAAAATAACCGTTAGTTTAAAGGGAAATTACCCATATAAATTTGACATTGATTAGAGCTTCAAGGTGCCATTAAACCTTAATGAACGTTTGTGCAACTGACTCTATATAAGACTTCTATTAAATGGATGTAAATACTGACTGTATTTTGTTAGATTTTTTACAGAATTTCCTAAAACCACTCTTGCCCGAAATAAAAATCTGGCAACACGCCTCACGAGTAAATTGTACTGATTGACAAAGATTATAGGTTGTTTTGTGATCTCTAACCGAATGCCAGTTGGCACATGCAATACCGTAGGCAATTTATAACGTGGTATACACTAATTTTAGTGGTTGTGTAGAGTTTGTTTGAAATAGAGATATCATTTTTGTTGGAATTAAGTATGAAATTATACAGGTAACCATCTTATTACGAAACGAGGATTAATTTTAGTACGAGGATTAAAATTGGACCTAGATAAGTCGGCATGACATAATTTGACGTTTTCTATTTCGTCTCTATCAATTTGCTTTAGGCGGTTAATGGTTAAAAGCAAGTGCGAACTTGAGACCTCGTTTTATTATTAGATGGAAAACCTATAAAACGAATTTTCCTACATCTTGAACTGATAGATGAAGATATATGAGGAGAGCTCTGGTGTATAAATCCATTTTGGTTTTAGGTATATTTGATGAACTATAAAGATAATTATTGAAAATGACGTTAATATTTTAAAACTATAACTTTTTAATCTTCTACGTAGAGTAGGAGATAGTAGGCGATAATT